GACGTCGAACCGGAAGAAGAGGAAGCTCCAACCTCCATCGAACCCGGAATTCTTCGCATTTTCGAGGACGAAGATTCGCGAATGCACGCACACGACGTCTGCACACACCTTCCTCTTTCAGTTCTTTCCACTCTCACGATACGATGGATCGATGAATTTTAAACCCCGCCTTCTAGAAAGACGCGCGCCAGCTGAACCCTCTTCTTTCCGCTCGAGGAAATTACGATCGAAAAGGAAAAGAAAGCGAGACGAGGAGGAAGAAGAAGAGGAAGAGGAAGAAGGAAGAGGAGGGGTAGAATAAAAAAATCGGTTAAAATCGGTGCAAAACTCGATGCGCGATCGATTTTTATCCCCGCGCGGAATGCTTTTTCAATCGCCGAGCGGCGGAAAATGACGCGATGATTTCCGGCGCAACTGGCGCGCGTTTCCACGGCCCTCGTCATTTCCGGGATCCGGCGCGTCGATCAACCCGCCCGGAAAACGAGCGTAGTCGCGACTAATACATATATATATATATATATATATAATCGATCGATCGAGTTTCGACGCACCATTCCCCTCCAATCTTCTGGCTACCTTTCTTGCTACGTTTCCAAGAGGGGCGCAGCTCGTACCCCTCCGTTCTCGATCATCGCTTCTTAACGGCGAGAGCGGAAATCTCGAAATAAATAACGGGAGGGGGAGGGGAACGATCATTGGATTTTCACGGAAAAATGATCGAAGATATGGTCGCCGTCGATCTTTCTAGACGAGACTCGCGTCCCTGACTAGTTCGTAAGGATATTCGATTTTTAAAGAAAAATGAAAAAAAGAAAAAAAAAAGAAAAAGAAGCGAGAGAAATTCGATCGATCCACGAAACGACGCAGTTTCTTGTATTATTCGAGTCTCTTAAACTCGTTAGGTTTAATTTAGCGGACGATACGCTCAAGTGTACGCGAGTACATGAAGGTATAAAGGGTTGATTGATTCGATAGTAAGGGGTGATGGTAAGGAGAAGAGGGGAAAATAAAAGGATTATCGTGGCCTTTACGATCATAAAGAATGATCATCGTGGAATATATCTCGATATGTTTCGAAGTATCCTCGATAGAAGTCGATTGGTCGGAGAGATTTGTCCGATGGAGGATAAAATAATGATCGGTTAGGAAAGAGAGAAACGATCACGTCAGGGGCCGCGTACTCTTGATACTCTTAAAATAAAGTAAGATGATGCCCTCGTTCTTTCAAAGAAAAAAAAAAAAAAAAAAAAAGAAAAAAACTCTCTCAATGAGTCCATTTTTCGTTCTTCTTTTTTTTCCCCCCTAGCCCTAGTAACCCTTTGTCGATCGAATTCCGAATTCCACCGGATCGATCGTGGCCTTCTTTTCTCCTATTCGCTTCGTCGAGAATTGGAGATGGATATCGGGTGCGAAAGAGCCATTTCTTTTTTTTCTTTTTTAAATTCTATTGGAGCTTTGCTTTGATTGAAAGGAATTCGAGGGAAGGGATCGTGGGGTAAGGGATCGAGGAATCCCACGATCGATTCGCGCACGACTCGACGAGGGATGAAACGGCGGTAGAATTTCGAAGGAAACTTCTTTCTCGGGTGACGATAGGCTACGGAAGAATAGGTGTTTTAATTTGAACAAAGCTGTAAATATAATTCGTGAAAGGGGAGAAAGAAATCTCGTGTTGTCCTGTAATTAACTTTGTAATTTAATTGTAAACGATCTAATAGAGCGAAGACGAACAAAGAAAAAAAAAAGAAATAAAAAAGAAAAAAGAAAACAAAAAGCAGAGAAGACAAAAGAGACAGAGAGGATATATATATTATATTATAAATACAAATTTAAAAAAAAAAAGAATATATTATATATATATATATACATAAAAATACAGATATATTCTATACAGATAAACGTACACATACGGATACATACACGCACACATGAACGTAAGTCGAAATGAGAAGGACAGGTGGACATACGGATTATTACTCGTACACATACACACAAACACACGAAGCACCCTCGCGTCGCGCAATAAAACAAATTCTAAATCGACTTTCAAACTAGAATGCGTGCCTGAGTGCGTGGGAGACCAACCCTCGTGAGCCATCGAGCCACCCTTCTCCTAAAGAAGAAACTTTAATTCGGATTTAAAATTTTAGCTAATTTTAGACAAACGAAGGGGATATACTCGGGTTGCTCGGGTAGCTGAAAATAAAATTCTTTAATCGGTGGTTGCTTGATCGTTTTAGCTTGGAATTATAGATATATATAAAACGAATTCACCAGGTTGAAAATAGAACGTGTTGGAAATTTCGATTTCTTCTCTCCTGAAATAGAAAAGAAGAAAAAAAAAAAAGAAAAAAGAAAAAGAAAAAGTTCGTTTCAATAGCGTTCGTTGTTAAAAATATAATAAAAAGAAGATTTCGATATAAATTTTTTAAAGAAACTTCAATGACGCGATTCTTTTTTAAATACCTTTGAATAAAAAGAGTTCAATTTATTTTTAAAAAATAATCTTCCTTCCTTCCAATTTGAAGGTTGATCGATACACTTCGCTATTTTTTTTTTTTTTTTTTTTTTTTTTTCCCTCCCTCTAAGAAATCAATGGGAACAGAATGTTTTTCTCTCCTCTTTTCCTCGATGACCGGACCGGTCGATCGTGTTAAATAAATAAAAATGCGGTGTCGAAGTGGCGAAAAAAAGGGGAAAAGGAAAAAAAATTACGCGAAGCTGGAAGATTATTAATACAGAATGCTGTGCCATCGGAGGAGGCGCGGCTCGGTGGCTTACGGGTAGAAAAAAAAAAAGACGTAAACGTGAATCTAAGTAAATAAAAAAAAAAAAAAAAAAAAAAAA